GCACTCTACCGAGCAGCATAATGAGACTTTGCCTCAAAAAAAAAAAAAAAGACAAAAAGTGTTTTTTTAAGCAGACAAGTCCCCATGCCCTCCACTCTACTTACTTATATCAATGCAATGGAGATCATCATAGAATTTGTCCCCTGCCAAGCCTCCATGGATAAAAAGTTTTGTCCCTGCTGCCACCATCACATGTCCATGTCGAGGAGATGGAGGATTTCCAAGCGTCTCAGGTTGTGACCAGGTCAGAGTGTCTAGAAAAGTAAATTCAGTAGCATCAAATGGCAGGGCTATGAAGCAAGAACATGATAAATATACCCAAGCCCATTTATAGCCTCCTAGCAGGTAGAAATGCTCCACCCAGGAAGCAATTTAGGAGTCATTCACTCTAATTCACCAACCCAGTCCAGGACTCTTCTCTACAGCCTGTAAAGCTTCTGCTAAAGAATTCACTACCTAACATGCCTGCCTTTCTACCTGGCCTTAGGAAGCCATTCCTTGCTTTTAAAAAAATAATAATATTTATGTATTTATTTATTTGTTTATTCATTTATTTATTCATTCATTCATTTTTTTGGAAACTAAGTATCACTCTGTTGCCCTAGGCTGAAGTGTGGTGGTATTAGCCTAGCTCATAGCAACCTCAAACTCCTGGGTTCAAGTGATCCTCCTGCTTCAGCCTCCCAAGTAGCTGGGATGACAAGCTCCTGCCACAATTAATTTTTCTATTTTTAGTAGAAATGTGGTCTTGCTCCTACTCAGGCTGTTCTTGAACTCCTGAGCTTTAGTGATCTATTCACATTGGCCTCCCAAACTGCTAACATTACAGGCAGGAGCTACCCCATCTGGCCCATTTCTTGCTTTGAATTAAAAAAGATCTCCTCTTGGGCGGTGCCTGTGGCTCAGTGGGTAGGGCGCCGGCCCCATATACTGAGGGTGGTGGGTTCAAACCCAGCCCCGGCCAAACTGCAACAGAAAAATAGCTGGGCGTTGAGGTGGGCACCTATAGTCTCAGCTACTTGGGAGGCTGAGGCAAGCCCAGAAGTATAAAAAAAAAAAAAAAAGAAAGAAAAGAAAAAAAAAGATCTCCTCTTAAGCATCAATCTAAAACTGCCCCAAAGTTAAAATGAGACTGTGTCTTCTGTCACAGGCCTTCAGACTCTTCTAATTTCAAGATAATACTTTTTTTTGAGACAGAGTCTCACTATGTCACCCTCAGTAGAATGCTGTGGTGTCACAGCTCACAGCAACCTCAAACTCTTGGGCTTAAGCGATTCTCGTCTCAGCCCCCCAAGTAGCTGGGACTATAAGCACCCACCAGAACACCTGGCTGCTTTATTGTTGCTGTTGTCGTCATCATTGTTGTTTAGCTGGCCCTGGCCAGGTTCGAACCCATCAGCCTCAGTGTATGTGGCTGGCGCCCTAAGCACTGTTTTATGGGTGCTGAGCCATGAAGAGGTAGGGAAAAAAAGCAGACTACTTTTTTCTTTTTTTGCAGTTATTGGCTGGGGCTGGGTTTGAACCTGCCACCTCCGGCATAGGGGATCAGCACCCTACTCCTATGAGCTACAGGTGTCACCCTACTTTTTTTTTTTTTTTTTTTAGACAGTCTGACTCTGTTGCCCAGGCTAGAGTGTAATGGTGTCACCTATCAGCAATCTCAAACTCCTGAGTTCAAGTGATCCTCCTGCCTCAGCCTCCCAAATAGCTAGGACTACAACACTTGGCTAATTTTTCTATTTTTAGGAGACTCGGGGTCTTGCTTTTGCTTAGGCTGGTCTTAAACTCTTGAGTTCAAAGGATCTTCCTCCCAACTGGGCCTCCTAAAGTGCTAGGATTACAGGAGTGAGGCACCACTCCCCAGCCTACTTTTCAATGTAAGTTAGCAGGACCTCTTGATGTGGCAATATAGGATAATGGTTAGAACATGGGACTTTGCAGTTTAAACCAGATTATGTCACTATATAACTGAAAGATCTTTTGCCAGTTACATCTCTAAAATTCAGTTTCTATTTCTTTCTTTCTTTTTTTTTTTTTTT